TTACAGCTTTTAAATTTTGTGCGCAAGCCATTTTTATTTGTTGGAAAAGACCCCCCCCCCCTGGTTCACAATATTTGAGTTCAAGAATTTTTTTTCATTATTCTATATTTCAAGTACCCAAAGAAGCCATATCTATAAAAAACCGGATACAAATCGGTGTTTTGCGAAATTGAGAGCAATTTCAAATCTGTTCAGTTTTTTTTTATACACCCTGTATAGTGATCATGGAAAAAATGCAACAATGTTCATTCTACTCACTTCTGTCCCTGGAGGTCCCACATGTCCCTTTGATCCCGGTCTTCCAGTCATTCCCTGAAATGAAGAAACAGTGACCGTGAATTGACCATCTCGTTTGCGCCGGGATAAATAATCAGGCGTTTACCGATTATTTCAAAATGGCTGATTACACAAATTTCCCTATTATTTTCCAATCAATCGGCTCATCCCTAGCAAATGACAGTTCTAAGTACCTGACATCCTTTCATCCCTTTTCGACCAGCACCGCCAGGTAACCCTACGTATCCCTGAAGAAAACATACGATATTCATTGAGGACTCTATTTAAACTAAACTACCGGATGTATACAAACATTGCATAGCTTGAAAATGTTCGCTAAAAATGCAAATTCAGCAAAATTTGTGAAAACTTTAGTATCTTTACCACCAAAATTATTTTGGAAAGTAAATGTGTGGGTACAGGGGGGTTGTTTTAAGAAAAACAACACTTTAAAATGGCTTGCGCATAAAAATGGAAGGCTTGAAACTTAAAACTGAATTCATAGGGTGCAATAAATCTAACGCATGATCTCTAAAACTTGGACTTTTTGTCATAGTAGCCTGTATATCAAACTGTCCGGTACTTTGATATTTCATAAACCACCTTCTAAATTTGCATCCTATGAATTCAAATTGCGTTTTAAACATTCCATTCTTGACTTTTGTGCGCAAGCAAGTTTTAGAAACAACCCTCCTGCACTTGAAAATTTACTTTTGAAAATAATTGCAGTGGTGAAGATGCATGCTAGCAGACCCCAAACTACCTATTATGGCCCAAAATTTTATTGATACACTCTGTAGATCGTTGAACTGGACTGGACTGGACTGAAACCCAAGTACCCGGACTCAACGTTGAAACAGGAAAGTATTAAAAGAACATGCAAATTCCTGAAAGATCATACTTACTCTATCGCCAGTAGAGCCTTTTGGACCTCTTGGGCCTTGTGGTGCACGCTTTTGTCTCGCAATCTGTAGGAAAAAATTCAAAAAACAGATCGTAGAGAAGGATTAATTCTGGTCACAGAATCTAGAAACGAAGTTCTGCAGATAAGTTTCTGCTCCATGTTATACAAAAGAAAATACATTTCTTGATATATAGCTACTGCACAGGAATTCAATGTGCTTTTCTAGGAAACGTTCATGACAATAGTCAATATAACCCATAGAAAAAGACGTTCGGCTTACCAAACCGTCGCGAATGGAGTCGACAAATCGTTCCAGCCATTCCCGCGGGAGGCCGTAAGGCACCTATAGGTAATACAGAACACGAACTATTGTCAGTATAAATCATTGCATACAAAAACAAACAAACAGAAAAAGGTAAACACAAGAACAATAAACAATAAAAAAATAAACAAACAAAGAGCATACATTACGCAATCTTGCTCCTGGCAGTCCTCGAGGTCCTTGGAGCCCTGGAAGACCCTCTAACCCTGGTTCACCAGGCAAACCCTGGGAAAAAATAGTAACTTAATTGAACATATCTTTAAGCGTTAAAAACTGAAAATCAGCTACGAAAATCATATTACTCACTTAAATGCCTTATACATACATACTTATACATACTAAAACTAAACTTGAAATTTTCAATTTTTAGTCTACATAATGGACCTATTCCCTAATGAACAAAATTTTGATCTCAACAAGTCTAGACAAAAATTTTATCACGGCTTGAAAGAGCATCACAAAATTAGTAATATTTCCGAAGTTTTGTTGCGAAATGTTGTAAACTGCGGATAATATAGCCCTGCGATGTTCGCCGTTTTTCAGTCATTTTGTATTCCGCGCGGGAAATTGATACCTTTTTTCAGAAAGCGGTATCAATTTCCCGTGCGTAATACAAAATGACTGAAAAACGACAAACTTCGCAGTGCTATATTATCCGCATTTTACAACCTTTTGCAACGAAACTTTGGAATATTACTAATTTTGTGATGCTCTTTCAAGCTGTGGTGAAATGTTTGTCTAGACTTGTCTAGATCAAAATTTTGTTCATTTTGTTCATTTAAAATTCTTAACTGAATGTTCTGCTGTAATTGTAAAGCCAAAATTACACGTGCCAACATATATACTCTTGTTCACCACTGTATAAACTTATAGAACATACTGGCTGGCAACTTGTAACAAAAAATGCCATCAAACAATTTCTCGGCACATTTTTAGGTGTTGGCCGATCGTCTATATTAAATAACAAGAACAGAACCATCTCAAACACTGACCTTATCTCCTACTCCTCCAGGTGGGCCGGGATCACCAGGAGGGCCCTGGAAACAACAATACACAAGTGAGCACCATATACAACTGGAGTGAGAAATATACCTGAAGCGGTGTGAACTTGAGTCCAAATTTTTTTTTTCGAAATTAGCACGATGTATTTTGGTTGGTCGTGTTGATTTTCATGTTTCAATTCATGTAAAACTGAGTTAATTATATCTACCAGTCCTAATGCACCGGCAAATTATGGTCCAGGTTATACGTAACTTCTAACATGTTATATGAAGGCGATTTAGATTTGTATTGGTCATTACATCATACGGTTTAATGCAGCGAGAAATGGTGGGGAAGTGTTGTTTATACAGTATATTGCTTTGGTTTCAGTAATAAAAAAGTGTTAAAAATCCATTTTTGAGATTGGACAAATCCACCAGCCTAGATCAGTCGGTTACATGTCTGGTCATAAAAGGCTTTGATCGGACTAAAGTTAAATTTGCCCGGGCATTGTCCGACGACCGACACTAATTTGCAAGCCTGTCTTTGGCTTCACTTTTTGGACGCAATTTCTCATTTCAGATCTATATGGGAGCTCACTGAATAAAACAAACCAAAAACTAGTACTCAATCTAATAGCAAACACCACTAAGCAACCTCGTACCCAGGGACTTTCCAACCTCGTTCCCAGGGTCTCTCCTTCTGTCATCTCTGGGTACGAGGTTGGGGTCTTTTCTCTTAGTGAGGGGAGAAAAGACCCTAGTAGACGCTGGTCACGTGATCTGCTAAAATCTAGCAGATTTTTAATTAGCAATCCAAGATGAGGACAATAAAGGGTAATTGCTAGATAGTATACTTCAAAATAAGGTTTCCGTTTTTATATTAATTTTTAAAATAAGTCAGGGTTAGGTTCGGGTTTAGGTTAGGGTTAGGTTAGGGTTAGTATTAGAGTTAGGGTTTAGTTTTGCGTTAGGATAGTTTTTTCTACGTTATAAAAACGGAAATCTTATTTTGAAGTATAAAGCCTCGTTTACACTACGCTCAACTTTTGGTACGGCACGGATAAAATTGTTACCCGTAACACTTTTTTGGTTCTTGGACTACCTAAATGTGATACGGGTACCAATTTTATCCGTGCCGTACCAAAAATTGAGCGTAGTGTAAACGGGGTTTAAATATTTGATATTTGGATAATTTTTATAGTTTAATTTATAATTTGCTTTTTGTATGATTATCGTAAAGGAATCCAAGATAGCTAATTGACCATTTGCGTAATAGACTAAATTTTGATCTCAACAAAAATTTCATTACAGCTTGAAAGAGCATCACAAAATTAGTAATATTCCAAAGTTTCGTTGCAAAATGTTGTAAAATGCGGAAAATATAGCCTTGCGAAATTTTGCAATTTTCAGTCATTTTAGATTACAAACCGGAAATTGACAGCCTCGAAGGGTTTGGGGCTGTCAATTTCCCGTTTGTAATCTAAAATGACTGAAAATTGCAAATTTCGCAAGGCTATATTTTCCGCATTTTACAACATTTTGCAACGAAACTTTGGAATATTACTAATTTTGTGATGCTCCTTCAAGCTGTGATGAAATTTTTGTCTAGACTTGTTTAGTTCAAAATTTAGTCTATTACGCAAATGGTCAATTAGAAATCTGCTAGATTTTAGCAGATCACGTGACCAGCGTCTACCAGGGTCTTTTCTCCACAAGAGTAAAAACCCTGGGTACGGGGTTGACCACAAAGCCGAATTTCCTATTCTAGTCCAACCTGTCTTCCGGGTGGTCCTGGCGCTCCAAGCACTCCAATTTTTCCAGGGTCACCTTTGATCTCGTATTTCTAAAAAGTAATATCATAAGTTAAAAAATAAAAATAAAACAATATATAAACAAAAATCATATAAATTCCATTCGAGGCATTACTGACTAAATTTAAAATTTATGAATTAGAAATTAATTGTTTGTTTCATTATTGTTACATTGTTCGTTTTATCATTTATCAAGGGAGGTGGAAAAAAATTTAGGGGAGGTGCAGCAGTCTAGGGGCGCTTTCAATTTAATGACCTGACCGGTCAGACTCAAATTGTTTTTCTCTGTATCAATGGAAATATCTGGTCTATGTTTCTCAAATATCTAGCGAAAATGGACCTCATTCAAATGTTATCTAAATTTTCCGGTCAGATAGGTCCGAAGTCCAAATGTTTTGTGTTCCATACAACAATTTGACCGTTCTGACCGGTCTGGCCGTGTTAATGGAAAGCGCCCTAGGTCATGGCCCCCATGGAAAGTTAGGGCTTAGAACGGGTCAATGTCAACGATGTGATGTATGCATGTAGTGTACATATGTATCAAGGTATTAATGAATTATGATTTTACAACTCATTACAATTACAATTACAATGACTATACAAAGTTTCTTTCAAAACATTGCATTAAAAGGGTACTTGACACAGATATGAATTGGAAATTTTCACTTTGATCTATCATTGAAACTTTCCAAAGGGAATAGGTGCATGACTTTTCAGGGGAGGTGCAAAACTTCTTAGGGGAGGTGCGCACCTCCACACACCTCCCCTCAAAATTCGGCAATGTCAATTACACATATTTGTACGTTTTTATATTGTTTAAATATTGACAATTAATGTTGTAAAGCCAGCCGCACACGAGAGCAACTTGCTGAGCTAACCGCCTCGCGAGGCGATTAGCTCAGCAAGTTGCTCTCGTGTGCGGATAGTTTTCGTGAGGATTTAACCTCTCGAGGCCTTGAGGAAAATATCTATCCTGTTTGATATTTTTCGCCTCGCGAGGAAAAAATCTCGCCGTCTGCAGATGTTGTGAGCTAAGTGCTGAGCTATTTGAATCAATTAGCCAATGACAAACCATGGTTTCTTCATGTGACTTGGAACAAAATGGAGGAAAATGCAAATGATTTTGTTATTTATGTTGTTGTTGAGTAGTTTTCCCAACGTGTGCGGTGAAAATACATAGCTGAGCTAGCTGCCACGCGAGGCGGTTAGCTCAGCAAGTTGCTCTCGTGTGCGGCGGGCTTAAATAGTTGTATAGTTTTGACGCAGGACCTCGCTGAAAAACACGTATATGTGATGTGGGTATCTTAGATAAATATAATTATTATTATTATTATTATTATTATAAATTTACAATGTTTATGCCCAGTTATAAGGCCTGTTCATCGTCATATAAGCTTAGCTGGGTGAGATCTCACATTACGCTAGGTGGGATCGCAGTGTCAAGTGGGATAAAATTTTCCATAACCTGACGCAAACGCATCTTTTGGATGTGCAGTCGAGAAGTTGGCTTATCCGATAAAAACCTCGATTGAATGCAATATTTTCAAACAAACCTGTAACGCTTCCAGTTGTTTTTGCGGAGTGAGCTCATTAAAATCTTTGTAAATAATTTCTCGTCCCTGTATCATTGACCATAGCGATTCTGGAATATCGAATGCGTCTGCCCCTGCTATTTTCACATCACTAAAATTGTACGATTGGTCAGAGGTTAAACTCGCATCACTCGGGGAGCCTGTATCATCGAAAAAATGTCGCATGTCTTCGGCCGAGTAAACATCACCGAATACGCTCTCGTAAATATTTGGTTCCTACACAAAGATAAATTTAATAAATTATTCTCTCACCCATTATGAGAGAATCTTTTCACATAAATACAGTCAAGTATACTTGCTTGTTGTACCCATAACGACGTAATGTGAGGTCAAATTTTCGGCCAAACAAACAAAAACAAATAAACTAACTAACTAATTAATAAACAAGCAAGCAAGCAAGCAAGCAAGCAAGCAAGCAAGCAAGCAAGCAAGCAAGCAAGCAAGCAAACAAACAAACAAACAAACAAACAAACAAACAAACAAACAAACAAACAAACAAACAAACAAACAAACAAACAAACAAACAAAACAAACAAACAAACAAACAAACAAACAAACAAACAAACAAACAAACAAACAAACAAACAAACAAACAAACAAACAAACAAACAAACAAACAAACAAACAAACAAACAAACAAACAAACAAACAAACAAACAAACAAACAAACAAACAAACAAACAAACAAACAAACAAACAAACAAACAAGATGCATATATAGAACGAAACAAAGTCTTACATTTTGTTCCTTTGTTGAATACGTATTGGCTTGATCTGCTAATGTAAGAAAAAATATTTTAGTATTCACTTAATTCGTGTTAACATGGTACCCTGTTCAAGCGTTTGCGCCGGATTATTTGAATAACTCTATCAGTTTTACGTGAACTGTTTTTCATTCAGGTCCGGTATTGTCCTGGGCAGGCGAGAGTGAGAGATGATGAGAGTTGAGAAGCGAGAGTTTGCATGAGAGTTTTCTCAACTCTGAGCAGCTGTTGAGGAATGTTTCACAAAGGTTTCTATTTAACGCAGGGGCCAGCACTGGACCCCCGCAGTTTCAAGGGGGAGGCACTCCTCACTGGGGGGGCATTCATTTAGTATGTATGTATGGGAGGGGGGAAGAGAGTATAATTGATGCATACATTTGCGTACAAAGGGGGAAGGGGGTTAAACCTTACGTTCGTAAGTACGCAAAATGATTTTTTGAGACAAAAATAACTTTGATTCAAAGTAAACTTAAATAAAGCATCAATTGAACATGCGTTACAGAGGCAAACGATATTTCGTCAGATGTTTCCCAATGTTGTAGAAATAGTTCAATTTGAGACCTAAACAATGCATTGTTTGAACTCATTTGCATAGTTCGACATTTGAACAAGAATTAGTTTCTGTCATTACAGGTCGATTTAAATGTTGTCATATTTTATTGGAATTCCAATTATGGTTCTTACATAAATTAAATGGTTCCGCATTAAATGTTAATGAGCTTCGCGCATTAGACGTGAAGCCGGGTTTGTTATTATTGCGGCGTATTTGGCGCACATCACACAATAGACGCTGCCAGCGGGTAATATTAAACGTTTCTCTAATATACCTGTACCATACCTAATCTATAAACCCAGGAAAGCTTGTTTTTTCATTTGTAATACGCTTAATTAAAGACTTCCAAGCAAAGCCATTGAAAAAACAAGCGTATTTATGACCATAGCGACCAAATTCACATAAAACATTTTAATCCTTGGTATACCTTTGTTCCATTCTATGCTTATATTATCAGAACAGTGGTATAACTAGGCATGGAAGATACCCCCAGCCAATTCACTCACATATACAATATAAATGCTTGGTTCCATTCGACACAAAACTCAAAAGTCATTGTGTTATGTTTTTTGTCGGAGTTTATGTTAATTGTGCACGTTCACGGTGATTGAGCACATTGTAATCGTCCAGTAGGGATAGCTGAGATGAAACGTGCAACCACGATGAATAATAATATTTAATGGAGTTGAGACAAAGGATTTGTGCACGGTGAGGTATAGTTCACTGTTTGTTCACATCAAACAAAGCTCTTCTATTTTGGAGCTTTGAAGTTTGCCGGGCTTCCAAAACTGAGTTTTCCAAAAATGTGAATAGGGTGTCAATGTTGTAAGTTACTGAGTCGCATCGCTAGGGGCCAATGCAATGTTAGTACATTAAACATTTGATCACGCAACCAAACGATGTGCCGTATGGTAAACGATCGGTGCATGTCGTAAGATCCCTCTGTGTGTAATAGTGTCACTGCTGTGCTAAAACCCAAGGAGTCAAATTAATGGGCATATAATGCATACTAGCTATGCATTAGCGTGCATAATGACAAATCCGTCTGACCCAACAGACCTCTACCACGTATTTTTTAGCCGATTTAAAATTCAACTTTGCCTCTATAAATGGCAAGAATTAAAAGAGGAGATCAAAGTGCTCAGGAGACAAAGAAATACGCTTCGTTGCAGCACGTTACTGTTGAAGTGGAAAACTTTTTAATCGGTAGAAAGATTTTGGTGATTTTATTTTGAGAACTTTGACACTCGTGGTATTTTTAAAAACAATGTGAACTTTAAAATATCATTAGAAAATATATGAGGTTTTGTATACCCATTCAATGCGAATTCCCTATCTACACATTTCCTATAAAATATTCTGTTTTTATACTGAACGACACAACACACTTTTTAAAATATAACCTTCGAATTTTATGTATACCCACTAAATTTGGCTCGCTCTTTTCAGTTTTGGTATTTATAAAGTGCTCACATCAAAATTCTAAGCGTGATAAAGGTTCCCCTATCTAAACGCATCAGTGACGATGATGATTACTCCAGCTACAACTTGGATGCCAGAGGCTTTTCACGCTTGCAAACAAACACCTAAAAAGTGGTGCATTAATTAACACACTACAAATTATACAAGTGCTGAAGAAATGTCCAATTAACAGCTTAATTAAGTGTTTAGAAGTAAATCTACTTGACAGTATTTCTCAGAATGAACAGTCTTCCAAAAACCCAACGGCCTCTCACTTAATTCATGGAAAGTTTTGGCTTTTTTCGCCACAACGACAATGAAATGGCAGAAAGTTTAAAGGCATGTTATAACAACTACTAGTGACAATGGTAGCGTCCTATGGGCTTAACATTTACTTAATTAAAACCCGAATGAACGCAAACAGCAAAATGGAGAGAATTTTATGGCGAACACAAACGGAACAAATAACTGCACGACAGTGTAAACCGATATTAAGTAAATAAAGGAACGCGCTACACGTTTCATGCTATCAATACTGAATCAATATTAGTACATATAAGATTACACAAATACAACCGCAAGTACTATAATACATTTTAAAACATGCTAATTTCTTAACTCTATCTGGAATAATGCCCTAATATCATTGGCCTCTTTACAGACTAATTAAAAAAACTAATAGTTTTATCTAGTGGTCCAATATGACACGTTTAGGAGCTAATTCATTCTTCAATTGTAATGCGCAAATTGCCCTGACTTTATACAGCAAACAGCTGACCTCAAAATACGACTTGAAGTTTCCCGTTTGCAGTTAGACGATTGCCGTAAACGTCAATCTTAAGGTTTACGATCGCTGAATAACTATATGCAAGCGCTCAAATTACTTCGCCAAATTTTCTGTGTTGACAAATACAGACGAGTAAAATTTGTACTTTGCTAATATTTAGTATAAAAAGTAATGACCAAATGTCTTTATCGTGGGAGTAATCTGCCTATACACACAAGGAGATATTAAACTTGCCATGTGAAAACTTGTCCATAGAAAACGTGCTCTCATCTATATCTAGCTAATAATAATACGCAACATGATTCAAACATTTCAGAATCAAAGTGTACAAGCCACAAGGGCAATGAATTAGAGACGCTACTGCAATAGTACTGCAATATATGCAAATTAAACTAGACATACGATTTGCATATATTGCGCCAAAAACCATATCTCGCTATATCCTTGTGTTATTTGACTCTGTACATTAGGAACTATTAAAGTTTATAAACATTTCATTCGGCGATATACAAATACCCAAGCTAAATGTCAATTATATCTATAAATACTATAAATACTTTATTATGTGTGAACGAGATTTGGATTTCCATATGCGTTCTAAGACGACGTTAATCTTGCCCGTAGTTATGTCTTGTCTGCGGCAATTATAAAATTACAAACTTAAATATTTAATGCTGAACAGGCTGCCTGCCAATACTGTTTTGCTTGTGCGCTGTTATAAACATACCCGCAAACAATTGCCCTCTGTTCTAAGCAGTGGTAGAGCATATTGAATATGTCGTATCATGCTTTCGTATCGTTTGATCAGATCGATTGATGCGATATCCATAAATAATGAACTAAGTAAAATATAACGAAGCTCTAATTCGCTAAATGAACTAGAATAGCCGAAATAAATAAATCTTTCGGTAGTAATGTACGAGTACATACGGATACGAGAAGCGCACGGGTTGATTAGCATAATACACTACTTGAATAATATGCGCGTCCCTTGATTTTTTACAATATAAGGATTAGGATTTTGCGCAACATATTTTAGTAGATAGAATATTACGACTCACCTTCTACCGCATATCCGTCAGGACAAAGTAGCGCGCATAATATGCTAACTAGGCAGACTTTGCGCGCGTCCATTGTACAATCACACAGCGTTTGGCGTTCACCAAAGGAATATCGTTTAGTCTTGCATGTGGTGATATATTTGCAGATAATCGGAAACTAGACGCACGGAGCTGAGTTCGGCAAGGAAGGCCAAAAGATGCCTGCGGTTTAAATACTAAAAGAAGCTTTGATCAACTTTAGCAGAGGCTATCGCTACAGGATGTATCAGATTTCAACGACCCAGTGCGTTCGTTTTCATTTATTTTTCAAATTAACTCGTCGATGCGTACCTCGAACAAAACTAACAGAATTATACCACTTTTTTGACGAATAAGACGAATTTTACCGGTTTACCCCCCCCCCCCCCCCCCCCATCTGTAATTTTGTATGGCAATAATGAAATGGTGTTTGTCGGTGTTGAATTCGAGTGGAGAGCAGTGTAAAGCGGTTGCGAAAAATGCAACTGTAGGCCCTCTGGCAGGAATCGAACCTATGCTGTGATTCCAGTGCAGCGCTCTAACCAACTGAGCTACAGAGAGACAGTTGTCAAGCTCTAACCAACTGAGTTACAGAGAGACAGTTGTCAAGTTCTAACCAACTGAGCTACAGAGAGACAGTTGTCAAACTCTAACCAACTGAGCTACAGAGAGACAGTTGTCAAGTTCTAACCAACTGAGTTACAGAGAGACAGTTGTCAAG